AAAAAATACATTCTCACACCTGAAAAAATGGACAAATCCTTTTCATTAAATATCCAGAGTCTAAATCTCCCCAATTTTGAATAAACGTCTTTTTACAGTTAGTTTGCTCAAAGCGGGATATAACTAAGGTTCATACATTGCATTTGGTGGATAAGCCTCTTAAGTCTCTTTTAATCTTATAGTTCTCCCTCCCTCTCTTATTTCTTGCTATTAACTTTTTGAAGAAACCAGATCATTTTTCTTTTATTTTTTTATTTTTTTGAGGCAGGGTCTCGCTCTGTTGCCTAGGCTGGAGTGCAGTGGAGCAATCATGGTTCAAGGCAGCCTCAACCTCCCAGGTTTAAGTGATCTTCCCACCTCAGCTTTCTGAGTAGTTGAGACAGTGTACAGTTCATTTTTTTAAAAATTTCTTTGTAGAGACAGGGTCTCACCACGTTGCCCAGGCTGATCTTGAACTCCTGGACAAGAGGCATCTTCCCACCTCCGCCTCTCAAAATGCTAGGATTACAGGTGTGACCCACTGCGTCCAGCCATTTTTCTTAAAACGCAATGTATTTTACTTATTTTATGGTTTGTGTCTTGTTATTAGAATGTAAACACCATGAAGGCAGAGATTTTAGTCTGTGAGGTATCAGCGTCTAGACCTGTGACATGTAAAAGGTATCAATAAATATTGAATGTATTTGGCATCCATGCCAAAAGTCCACTGCTCACCAACAGCAGAAATTGCTAATCACAGTAGTCTTTTCTCTTAAGTTTGAATAAGGACTCCCAGTTTTCTAAACATGGCACTCTAGGCAGCCACCACTAAACAATCAGATTTGGTACCCCAAATGAAATTTATTTGCTGTACCTGCTTTATCCCCTTCAAAAGTGTACGGTCTCTAAAACAGATTTCATTGCACCTTGGATGTTGAAATTTTAGCATGATAAATTACTGTGTTTCTTGTCAACTACATTTAAACATTTCTTAGCTTATTTTAGACAGTTTAGGGGAAAAAGAAAACTGTAGCCAAAAAAATAATAGAAAAAGAAACTGTAGAAGATGGTGGGAACCCGGGGGTATTACATATTTTTAGAATTAGCAACATCCCAAGAGACTCATAAAATAAAAATTAGCAACAAATTTTCTGAAAAGGAAGTAAATTACATGTGTGTTGAATTAATTTTTAAAAAATCTACATGAACAGTCAAGATTAACTGGAGGATGAAGACAGATGTCAGGATTTTCCCATTTATAGGCATCAGCAACACATTCTATTTTTCTGCAACTGGTATTTTGAGGTGTAAACGTATTACAGGGGTGATACTAGAGTACTATGCAGAACCTCAATTCTCTGAAGTGGAGTTTATGTGGCAAAAAGAATCTAAAACATCTGGTACAACATTCTGAAAAAATTGTCAATTCTTTTAAGAGTCATTTACAATTCATTTCTGTTAAACTACCAGATGAAGCTCTCTTTCTCTAGGCTTATTTCTGAAGGTAACTATGCTAATTGAAAGACTCCAATCAGATGTTTATGTTTTGATTACTTTTTTCTATCAAAAAAGAAAAAAATTAGAAATTCCCTGACATCCATTCAAGAAACACTGTGCTTTCTCTTTATTACCTGCAAATTCATTAAACAACAAAAAGTATTTAGGACCTACTAAACATAGTATGTTAGGCAGTTATTTTCAACCTTTGAAGGAAAAATAGAAGTGATCTATTCAAGACAATTTGAAAAAAAAAAAAAAAAAAAAAACAAAGCTAGTGGCAGAACTTGAAATCATATCCAGATATTTCAATGACCAGTATTTCTTGTCTTGAGGTTCCCACACATTAGTCTAGGGAAATATTCTATGGCACAGGTCACACTTAAACTAAGAAAATATAATAAGCACTCCCCTCCCCCACTACCACAAGTGTAAAAAAACTCCAAGAACCCAAATCCCTTGAAAGAATGACTTCCATTTACTTTGCTTGTGTAATATATTCAGAGGGAATCTGGAAAAGATGGCTAGAAATCTATAAACAGAAAGTGCTAAGTGGAATTCACTGTTTATAGACTTCAACTAGAATTTTGTCCCTTATATATGAATATTGCCAGGAAACTTTATATTGTATTATTTAAAAACATCTTCATCAGGTTTTCTTCACTTTGTTGATTTTCTTCCTTTTTCCACTGGCTTTTAAATCTGCTTTACTCTCCTCAAAGACATAAATGTAACTTTTAGAATAACAGGACTTTTTTTCCCCCAAAAGGAGCACCTAAAGCCACCTCAGTGCCATCATATATTAGTCATTAGGAAATTTTAATATATACAGTTAAATATATTTGTATAATAAAATCATCCATAAAATCCTTTCTAATCTAATAAATACTAGGATAGGTCTACATTGGTGTATTATGGTAAAATGTACACATATATGTTAGTTTTCAATTCTAAGTCTTTGGCTTAAAATCTTTATCAGCTGTAGAAGCTTCTGCCTAAAAACATTAGTTGTCTATGAAGCATAATGACTATCTATAGTCCTTATCACCTGACCTACTAGAAAACCATAACGAATCATATTCTGAAATGATAGAACTCTTAAAGTGACATTCTGACAACCCAGAAGAGTCTGAAGCTAAATCAAACGGAAACATCCTTTGGCTTCCTCTTTGAAACTTGCCTCAATGGCATTTGGCAGTACTAGACTAGCTTCCTACCCCGTACTTTTCAGTCATTTCCTTTAAGGGGTCTCAAAGAAATTATAAAACCTGCAAAGCCAGACTTCGCCAGTCAACACTAACTTCTGCCTGCGGACTCCAGTGACTGAGCCAAGACAGTGTTAGTAGCTTCCTTAAAGTACAAATGTCCCCGGTAAATCTGGCTTGAAAATACCACAGAAAAAGTTCAACATAACCAACTGCAAGAACATTTAAATGTCAATCTTAAGGAAAGGATGGATTCTCTCCCCCTACAAACTCCACTGAGGCAAATTTCCAGCTTGCTTTTTAGAAGTAAATAAATACCACTACTACTACATTACAGCACTTCTACCATGCCAATAAAAAGCTAGGTGATAGTTTCCTCTTTAAAACCTGTAAATTCACTAGATGAGACATTATAACTACTTCACTACATGCAACTTTCCATACATATAATTGTTCTACTTTCCAATTATTTATGTTAAACTCAAGATCTCTTTTAACATACTATAGAAAGGGAACAGGTTAGAAGGCTCTGGAAAAAAAAAAAAAAATAACGAACATCTCACTTTCATTTTCTGATGCAACCACCAAAATCTAAAATGTAATGACAACCACAAAATACAAAATTAAATGTAAGAGAATTTAGAGTAAGTGAAACTATTCACTGTTACTACAGTTCTGATCATTATTTACCTGAGGAAAGAGCTAGTAGAAGTGATGCTTGATTTAAATTTTTGGTACTTTCCAGTTTGGTACCGAAGAAATAAAAACTCACAAAATAAATAAGGTCCTCAGAGTTAAAGATTTTTATCCAGAACAGGTTGTTGATATAAATAAAGGAATTCATATGCTGTATTTGTACAGTAAGAACAATGTTTTGAGACATGTAAATCTGATCACTCATTAAATATTTTCTGTTGGCTATAAAGAAGATGCATCGTAAACTGAAACAGAACTGAACAAAGTGAACCTTTTCCACAACTAAAAAATTTTAAATTCACTCTATTAAGCAAACTGAATAAAAAATTCATTTCTCCTTAAGTGTGAGAGTAATACATATTCAACACAGTAAAGGACAATGCGATTTCTGAAACAAAAGATCATGTGCAAAGAAAACAAAGTAACATTTTGCAGAGTAAGAAAAAGTAAAGAGCCTGTGAACCGAAACAGATGACCTTTTCTTATCTATAAAGTATAAAGCTTCAGTTTTTAGCACAACCAGCATCTTACGAATAAAGTTCTCAATAATATTTGTTGATATACTGTTTGATGACTAAACGACAGGAATATTGTTGGTGATGTTAAAACCAAGGCACATTTCCTTCTGTGTAGTGATTAAAATCTGTTAAATGTACATTTTTAAAAAACCTATGCCCTCTGTCCCATTCTTGCTGTCTTGCCTCTAAGAGACCTACACGTACAAAAATAAAAGTAGATGGTGACGTGACTTTATGATTTACATTAATTTCCCTACTCGAAGCATTTCTCAGTAAGTCTTTAAAGGTTTTAAGATTCAAACACTATGTAAGAAGAATTATGGTTTGAACTACTTAACAATTACCTAGATATCTTTTGGACTTCAGATAACCTGTAAGTAAAATGAGCATCTTTAACTTTTTCATGGGGCATTTGAGAACGGGTTCTTCCTCATAAACTCTTTCATATCCTCAGATACCAGGCGCGGTAAAAGATCAAGCGTATCCATCAGAGAGCTTTTCACGACCTCAGTTTACCCACTTAGGGAAACGGGCGTATTAACTTGTTTCCTAGGGGACCCAGGGGTGAAATTAATTAGCGTGTTTAAAATGCTCTGAGATCCGAAGATGAAAGGAAATGTGAAAGACGCGCAGAGATGATGACAACAATCATAACAATAAAAAGAATGACTAACTTGGAAGTCTGCGTTATGTAAGGGAGGAAAAGAAGTTATCAGATCCGCACAAACAAAAGGGAAACCCACCGCCCCTTTTGTTTCTCCCATTTCCCTCTCCTACCCGCCACCCGCAGAGCTCCCCTCTCGCAGCCCGAGCGCACGGCCAGCCAGGCGCCGGGCTCGGAGTTGGCCGCCGCGCGCCCGGCTCCCGGGCGGAGGGGGAGGCCGCACAGGGCCGGTTCCTGACAAAGGCGCTTCCTCCTGCCAGGGCGCGGGATGGAGGCGCCGCAAACTCCGCTCCCCGCCGCCGCGGGGGCGCGCAGGCGGGCGGGGAGAGCTGGCTGGCTGGCCGCCGGAGAAGCCGCCGAGGAAGTTGCGCGCTCGCCCTCCCCGCGCCCCTCGGCGGCCCCGCCGCCATCCATCCCGCGGCGCCCCGCGGCCACACTTACCGGACAATTGCTGGTGGCCGGGATCCCAGCGCGGCCCCTGAGACCCGAGGCGAGAGGGTGAAGTGTTGTGCGCGGGGAGCACGAGCAGACAGCCCGCCGTTCCGCCGCTGCCCTCCGCGCCAGCCAGCCGAGCCCAGCGAGGGGAAGTTGACCACGAAGTCGAGCGCTGAAGAGCCGCGGAAGCAGGGAGAGGCGTTGGGGCTGCTTTGTAGTGCACTCCCGGAGGGCTGGGGACCAATTCGACCGCGCCGCGGGGCTGCCGCTGCTGCTGCTACTGCTGCTGCTGGTGGAGGAGGCGGCGGCGCCCCCCGACGGTCCCTCCGCCTCACACCGCCTCTGGTTCACTGACATACACTCCCAGGGAAGGGAGGGGTCTAACCGGAGGGCGGGGCCTGAGGGAGGGGACGGGGCAGGGCCACAGCGGAAGGCGGTGTCGTCGCGCCGAGAAGGCTCTTGGGAATTGTAGTTCTCCGGCTGAAGAAAAAAGGGATTCATTGTTGTCCAGCACCCGACCAGGCTCGCTCTGCACTGAGCATGCTCGAGGGCGAGATTTGGACCGCCCCCTCCCACCGTTACCATGGTCACCGACACACTTAGCGAACGTGTTCAGTGCCGCTGTTGGCTGAACAACGGCGGTCTTGTATTCTGGTGTTGTTGGGGATCCACCCCTTAGCCGGTCCTTCCTACTTCGCTCCACCCCGAACTCCTAGCCTCACCAGTCATAAGTGTCCAGTGAGATCTGACTTCCTCCCGATATTTCAGTCTTCCCTGCTGCCTAATTTATCTTCCACAAACCCTAAATCACGAATACCACTGTCCCTCATTTCCCTCAATTGAATCTTCTCTGTCTAAATTCAATTTTCTTTACCTAAGGCTTGTCGAAATGTAGTTGTTTCCAGTAATTGAACAATTAGGTTATAAAACTTACGAATATCACCACTATCAAAATCCCGTAATTACTTTGCTCAGTTAATCACATCTAACTTTAAGATTAGCAAAGTACAGGATTAAGATCCCTATATTTTACTTGATTACTATAAAAGAATCGGGTTTGTTCATTTTAAGGCCTACAATTTTTAAGACATACAGATTTCATAAAGTATACGTTCAAAAGACAAGTTGAAAATTGTTTATGTGTATTGGCCAACTTTAGTTTGGTAATAAGAGAAGTCTGAACCAAGGTATGAGTATGTTGTTGGGCTGGTCAGCTAAGTCTACACCCATCTTGGGCACCCAGGTGTGGATAGGTGGTAGGGAGGAGGGTGGAGAAAGGCAGGACACATTACTGGCTCTCCAGAGAGCTAAAGGCAACGCGTCCTGAGCTCTTTTGTTTTCCTTCTCCACCTAGCTAGAACCCCACACCCTGGAAGAAAAAGATGAATGCTTAGGAATCAGACGAACTTTTGGAGCAGGTTTTCAAACAGAGAGTCTCAAGATCAGGAATCCTTATATCTACAGACTACATAATTATACACTCATTCAAAAAATGCTTGTTGAGTGTCTACTTGTGCTAGGCACTGTATTGAGCCCCAGAAATAGAGATTCAAAAATGTAAAAGAAACATTCTTATTTTCAAAGTGCTTACTATGCAAAGGAGGAGACAGGTAAATAGACTTAATATGAGAAATACTACAATAGGAAAGTGCACGGCTACCCCTAGATGTGGGCAAAATCAGGAAATGCTTCAAAGATCACTTGAGATAACTAGGAATTAGCATGTTTGTGTATTTTGGTAGGGGAGGAGGAGAAGAGAGGTGGGTGAGAGCATTTTGAGGGTGGTGTTTGGAAGAGCAGCAAGTGCAAAGACCTAGAGGTGTGAGACCCAAATGTATTTTGGTTCAGCAAATAGTTGCATTGCTGACAGTAGAATGGAGTTGGAGTGGCAAGAGGAGACACTGAAAAAGGTAAGGGAGACGGCTTAGGTAATGAAGAATCTTGCGCAATATGCTAAGAAACATGGACCTTTTTGTGGAAACAATGGGAAGCCACACAAGGATTATAAGCAGATGAAATTTTGATAAGATATGCATTTTAGACAGATCATTCTATGGAGTGTGGCATGTATTGGACCTGTTACAGTATTACAGGAGAAAAAAACCATGAGAGACTGAGCTAAGGCAAGGCAGTGGCAGAAGAGAAAACTGAGGGTAATCAGACACTATTCAGGGGATAGAATATAGAACATAGTGACTAATTGCCTATGTGTGGGGTGAAGGGAAAAGGAAAGTTATGAATTATTATGCTTGTGGTTGAAAGCAGCGGAAAACCCAGCTCTAACTGGCTTAACCAATAAAGGAGATTCAGTGAACCATCTAGCTAGAAAGTTCAGGAAAAAGGCAGGCTGTAGGGATGACGGATTCAACAACTCAGAGATGTCATTAAAGGCACTTTTTTGCCTCATTTTAATTGTTTTTTCTTCTTTAGTATGAGCTTTATTGTCAAATGACGGTTGCCAACAACTCATATAGTTTTAAGTTTTGCTATTTAGGTCCAAGAAGAAATAAGAAAAAGAATCACTTTTGGAAGCTCTTTTGTAAAGGAAAGAAAACTACTTTCCCAGAAGCCTCAAGGATTTAGTCACATGTACCTACATAAACCAAAAATGGCTGCCAGGAGATGGCACAAGGATAATTATCTTAGAATGAAGACAAGTGCGTACCCGTAGAGCCACAGAAGTCAGCTTCTACCAAAGCTGTGGTGACGAGGTACAAATATCTCAGTGAAAATTGAGCTGTTTACCCAGAAAAAGAAGCATGGAGCCTAAGAAGTGGACCACAGTGTCTACTACAAGGAAGAAGCCAGGGATGGATCCCAGATTTTTGGATTGTGTGCTTATGGGCTAGTGGTCAGTTATGTACATGACTCTTGTGCCCTGGAGACAGATATGGGCAGCAGAAGATATACTTGGAATATACCATCATATAAATGGCTGTTGAAATTATGGCAACGGATGAGATCACCCATGGAAAGTATGCACAGCAGAAAAAGAGGAGTCAATAATAGAGAACAGTGCTTAGAGAACATCAGCACTTAAGGTGTAGGCAGGAAGATCATGAAAATGCCTGGGAAGTAGCAAGACAACTAGGACATACAAAGAAACAGGAAAGTAATCTACCACCAGGAGGAGAGTCAGTCAACATAAAGCCACAAATGACAGAGATGATAGAATTAGCAGTCAACAATGTTAAAACAGTTATGATAAATATGCTCAGTATGCTGAAAGAGAGAAATCAAAGATATAAAAAATGGAATTTCTAGAAGTTAAAATGACAACTTCTGAAATAATTTCACTGGATGGGATTAACACTCAGAGGCAGATTAGGCACAGAGCAAATTAGACACTCAAAAGAAAAGATTAGTGTACTTGAAGAGATAGCAGTAGAATCTAGCCAAAAGAAAGCACACAAAGAAAAAAAAATGAAAAAATAACCCCCAAAACAAAGTCTCAGTGAGCTATGGGATAATACCAAGTGCTCTAATATTTGTGTAATTGGAGTTCCAGATGAGAGATGGGTCAGAGGGGTGACAGAAAAATTATTTGAAGTAATATAGCTGAAAATATTTTCACGTTTGATGAAAATTATAAACCCACAGATTCAAGAAGCTCAATGACCCCTAAGCAGAGTAAACACACACTCCCAAAAACCACTGTAAAAGACTTCACTGTTAAATTGTTGAAAACCAACAATAAGAAAATATTAAAAGCAGCCAGAGAAAAAAGGCAGATTCTGTATAGAGGAATAAACACAAAACATCAGTAGACTTCTAATCAGAAGCTGTGCAAGTCAGAAGACCATGAAAAGGCATTTCCAAAGTGCTGAAAAAAATACCTGCCTGGCATGGTGGCTCATGCCTATCATCCCTGAACTTTGGGAGGCCGAGGCGGGTGAATCCCTTGAGCTTAGGAGTTTAAGACCAGCCTGGCCAACGTGGCAAAACTCCGTCTCTACGAAAAAATACAAAAATTAGCTGGGCGTGGTGGCGTACGCCAGTAGTCCCAACTACTCCAGAGGCTGAAGTGGGAAGATTGCTTGAGCCCAGAAGGTGGAGGCTGCAGTGAGCTGTGAACGCGCCACTGCACTCCAGCCTACGTGACAGAGCAAGCCCTTGTCTCAAAACAAACAAACAAAACACCGTGACACATAGAATCCTATAGTTAGAGAAAATAATCTTTCAAAAATGAAGTTTAAGACAACAAAAGCTGTGAGGATGTCACCAGTAGAACTGCACTGCAAGAAATGTTAAAGTCGCTTCTTGGTAACTTGGATTTATATTAAAGAATGAAGAGTGCCAGAAATGGTAAATATATGAGTAATTATGAAAAACTTCTCTCCCTGACTTAAATTTTTTTAAAAAAGATAACTGACTTTAAAATAAAAATGACAAGACTGTATTATCAGGTTCATAATTAAAGATTTCTGTCAGCATTTATATATAAGGGACAAAATTCTAGCTGAAGTCTTTAAACATGTAAAGTTTGATAACAATAGCTTAAAGGATGGAAGGAGGAAGTGGAATTGTACAGAGAGGTCTTATATTACACACGAAGTATTATACTATTATTTGAAGGTAAATTGTGGTGAGTTAAAAATGCATAATCTAAACCTTAGAGCAGTCATCAAAAATGCAAAAGAACAGATGTGGCTAATAAGTGAATGAATAGTGAAGATAACATGAAATCTTAAAAATAAAAAGCTTGAATGGAGAAGCAGAAATATGGAAGAAATCTGTGTCCCTAATGACCGTGGAGCTGACATATCAGCTCTGGACTCTACCTCCTGACTTCTTTTAAGTGGGAAACAAACTTGTTTTATTTTTTAAATTTTTTTAAATTAAAAAAATAGAGACAGGGTCTTACTATATTGCCCAGGCCGGTCTTGAACTCCTGGGCCCAAGCAATCCTCCCACTTTAGCCTCCCAAAGTCCTGGGATTACAGGCGTGAGCCACCATACCCAGCCAAGAAACAAACTTCTATCTTGTATAAAGACATTGCTATTTTGTACTGTGTTATGTATAGCTGAACCTAATCCGACTCACAAGCCTATAGAAGTTTCATGAAATAGAGCGTATTTCTCAGAATCAGGTAATCCACGTGTGGCCAGCAATTTCAACATAGTTCTGAAGTTCCTATATTTGTCACTAAAATTCCAGGCATACAGCATCTTTTGTATGGATATCATTTACTATTAGTTTAATTAGTTTTTCCTGAAGGAGAAAACACATGTAAAGTGCTTAGCCCAGCCTTGGAATGCAGCAGATGCTCAGTCAATATGTAGTACTTTGAAACCAAACCACGGTAATAAGGTAGATGGCCCACAGGTTAGACATATGTTCGGGTTTGTTCTCCAAAGTCAGGTATAGAAAATCATGGTGACATTCACATATATCAAA